TCTGGGTTAGTATTCTTAAGTATGTGATTTGCCTTTTCACTGTATGGCTTCAGATGTTTCTGTTTTTATATCAGAAACATGTTTTCCAATTATGGTTATATAAATTTTGTTTTTCTTCATCAGGATTCTATTGTATGTGTGTTGAATCTTCTTTAACTATCTTAATTATTTGCCATTTTCTTTTTAATGTTTGTCTTCTAAAAAGAGTTTTACTTCTTTTAGTTACATAGTTTCTGTTGTGTTTATAACTCCCTGTTTCTTCTAATTTATTCTTTTTAAATTGATTTTTATTTCTTATAGAAAGGTACTTTTGGAGGTTGTCCTAATTCTAATTTATGTTATTTGTATTATGTCTAATTTCTTAAAGTCTTCAGCTTTATTTGAAGAAGTAGGTTATAGTATTTACCTGTTTTTCAGCAAATCTTTGTGGTTTGCTTTCAGTGTCTTTAGATATTTATTTTGTTCTTATTCTCTTTTTTCTTATAAAAACTTGTTTCAGATTTTATTTCTTTCATTTTTTTTACACATTTTTATATGTAGTTAGCCATTCTAAGTGCCCTGACACCCTTCTTCTTTTTGTGTAATGGTTGAAAATATTTCACCTTATTATGTAAGAACTCCTCACTCCTCTCTCCTTCCCAAGAGTTTCTAGAGTTTCTCTTTTCCTTTTTTCTATTGCCACTGTCCTCTTCAGTCTGGGGCCTTTTCCCTGTAGTTTCTCTTCAGTGTTGCTTTGTTCTAGAAGAGAGCTTTGAGTGTTTATTTTTGAGAGTTTGCAGTGACTGAAGTGTTCTATGCCCTAAAGAGTTTATTATGAACCCTTTCACTCATATTCTATTGTAGTGAGAAGAACACTTTCCTTTTTATATACTTTTCTCAATTTTGCTTACTATGCAATATATAGAATCCCTGTTGGTAATTTTGGAGTTCTTTTGTTCTGTCGAAAGGCATATGCCCTATTACTGTCCTCTTCTTTGTACTAACCACATAGATCTATTGGTGGGATGTTCCCACCTTCTTGTATTTTGAAATATTTTGCATAAGGTTTTGATTTTGCTATTTAATTGCTCTGTTTTTATAAGGGAATTTGCAGAGATTTAAATTTTAAGTTGCTGTCACAGCCTACTTCTAGAATTCTCATAAAATTTTTCATATTTAAAAGTTGGTCCACTATCTCATGGACCATGCAGACTTCTGATATCAAAGTTAACATTGTGTTTGCATTAAATAAGAAACTGCAGTTAAAAACATTCTATATACTACAACATGTCCCTCCGAAAATGTATACACACTTTAACAGCTGATAGCTGTAGATTCTATTACATAATGAAATGAAATATCTATATATGTAAAATCCTAAGCAACCATTATGACCAAATAATTGGTTGACTAGTCACTATAATGTGCACTGACCACCAGAGGGCAGACGCTCAAAACAGGAGCTGCCCCATGGTGATCAGTGCACTCCCACAGTCAACCTCCCATGGCCGGCCAATCTTCCACGGTCCCACCCTGTCAGCCGGCCAACCTTCTACAGTACCTCCAGTAAGATGGCCCCAGTTGGCCCCAATTAGGCCTGGGCAAGATGGCCCCAATCACCGGCCAGGCCAAGGGAACCTCACCTGTGCATGAATTCATGCACCGGGCCTCTAGTATTTTAATAAACTGCCTTTATAGTGTGTATAAATTTTGGGGGGACACCCTGTATATATTATACTTACCTTGTTAATAACTAATAAATTGTTGTCTAATTAGGAGCCTTTCTGTACCATCTACTACTAGATTGTTATAAAAACACAACTTCTTATGTCTTTGGTGACCTCTTAAATGTATTAGCTAGGGGAAAATATGGTAGAAAGAAGTTTATATGGGAGTGGACAAACATAGGTTTATAGTTGTAATACACATAATACGACAATAAATAAAAACATAAAAATAAAATTTTTCATACTAGCAACTATAAGCCTATGTTTGCCCACCCTATTAGCTACACTAATAAAAGAGATGCAAATTGGCCATACCTCTGCAATGCCCACCAGATAATGAGTAAGTATGTAAATTAACCCAACAAAGATGGCAGGTTAATTTGTATACACAGGCTCCTAGCGGCCTGGGTCCCAGGAACATTCTTGGGATCCAGGCCATGCAGAGCCTGTAGGCCCAAACGTAGGCCTTGAGCGACCAGGGTCCCAGAATGCCCCTAGCCACTCATGGCCTATGGGTTTTGGCACTGAGCGGCTGGGGGCGGCGTGGCAAAAGCTTGAGCAAGGCCAGAGTGGACCTGGGTGGGCCCTACACAAGCCATATCGGAGGCTTGAGCAGAGCCAGTAGCCCTGCCCAAACCATGGCAGGGGCTTGATCAGAGCAGGGCAGGGGGGTGGAGTCCTGCCCAAGCTACAGCACTGGCCTGAGCAGGAGACCAGGGCAGGCAGGAAGCTTGGCTTCCTTCATTTCTGGGTCAATCCATGCCTCCTGCTTGCTCCAGCTCTGTGGCTGGACACCTTCTTGGTTGGGTTAATTTACATACTTGCTCCTGATTGGCTGGTGGGCATGCCTTGGCGTAGTGGAGTGATGATTAATTTGCATGTTTCTCTTTTTATTAGTGTAGACTAGAGGCCCAGTGCACAAAAATTCATACACTAAGCGTGGGATTCCCTCAGCCTAGTCTGCACCCTCTCACAACCAGGAGCCCTTGGGGGATGTCCAAATGATGGCTTAGGCCTGTGGAGAGCAGGCCTAAACCAGCAATCAGACATCCTTACTCTGCTGCGGAGGTTAAAGAGGCTCCTGCCACCACAGCTGCATTCGCCAGCCTGGAGCCCAGCCAGGATCGGCGCTCTCCCTTTGAGAACCATCTTTGTGAGGGCCTGATGGTCAATTAGCATAGTCCCTCTTTATTATAATAGATAGGATAATTCTCTTAAAACATACCATTTAGTAGGTTTTAGTATATTCACAAAGTTAAGTAACCATTACAACAATCACTTTTAGAACATTTTATTTACCTCAAAAGGAAACCCCATCACATTAGCAATCACTCATTTCTCCCTAATTCCACCTTTCCCTTCCCACTAGCTCATTTTTTGAAAACATATTTTTATTGATATAGAGGAAGGGAGGGGAAATAAAGAAACATAAATGATGAGAGAGAATCTTGATCGACTGCCTCCTACATGACCCCTACTGGGGATTGAGCCTGCATGTGCCCTTGACTGCAATCAAACCCAGGCATGTGCCCTTGACTGGAATCAAACCCAGGACCTTTCAGTCTAAACGCCGATGCTCTATCCATTGAGCCAAACCAGCTAGGGTCCCTCTAGCTCTTGACAATAACTAATCTATTTTCTATCTCTGTAAATCCCCCTGTCCTATATATTTCATATATATGAAATCATGCAATATGGTCTTTAGTGACTTTTTCACTTAGCATGTTTTCAAGGTTTATCTATGTTGTACTGTATATCAGTAGTTCTTATATTTTCATTATCAAATAATATTCCAAATGGTAATTATATGTTTAGTCTTTTAAAGAACAAATGATTTTTCAAATTTACCACATATTTTACATTCTCACCAATAGTATATTAGGATTCCAGGTTTTCCATATCCTTGCCAACAGTTTTTGTTGTCCATTTTTTTATTATATCCTAGTAGGTGTGAAGTGGCATGATTTTTTTTAATGTATAGTTTTAACTTATGGAAAGTTTCAAGAATTCATAGGAGAGGGAATAGTGTTATCAGTCCCTGTCACCTTCACATCTTAATGATTATGAGTATGTATGTGGCTAATCTTTTATTTTATATATTCTCTCTACCTTCTCTTTTATGACCCATCAATATTTATATCAAATTCTAGAAATAACTGTTATTATTTTATACACTTAGTGCTTAGATTTACTTATACATTTATCAAAGTATTTGATCACCATATCTTTCTACAGCCTGTCTAGAAGCATTTTTTGTCTGTCTAATAACCAAATATATAAAAAGTCAGGGGCTGTCACAACCAAAACAACTAGATGGATGGCTGCATGGGGCGTCAAGGCTGGCAGGAGGGTTAGTGAGGGACGACCAAACAAGTGAACAGCAGGCTGCGTGGGGTGATCAGGCCAGCAGAGGGGGCAGTTGGGGGCAACCAGGCTGGCAGGGGGGTGGCAGTTGGGTGTGACCAGGCCAGCTGGGGGGAGCAGTATGGGGCAACCAGGCTGGCAGGGGGGGGACAGTTGGGGGCGACGAGGTTGGCAGGGGGACAGTTAAGGGCGATCACGTAAGCAGGCAGGTGAGCAGTTACAATCCAATGGTCCTAGATTGTGAGAGGCATGTCCACCAGGCATGCTGGTTTAGGCTCGATCTTGGGGATATCCCATAAGGGGTCCCCTATTGGAGTGTACAGTCTGGGCTATGGGAGCCTCCCCACACACACACATGAATTTCATGCACTGGGCCTCTAGTGTGTGTGTGTGTGTGTGTGTGTGTGTGTGTGTGTGTGTGTATATACCCCTTAGAAATCTTAAAAGTAAAATTTTTGGTCTTGTTTGTTTGAAAATGTTTCTAATTTGCATGTTTTAGAAAATTAGTGTAGAACTTGAGTTGAAAGTTATTATTTCTGAGCATTTTGAAGATATTTCAGTGTCTCTTAGTTGCCATTTTTGCTGTTGAAGAAATAGGAAGTCTAATTTCTGTTTCTTTGTAGATAATCTTATCAACTACTTTTTCTTTTGTATTCCTCAGTTTTATCATAATATGACAAATAAAAGTCCCACAAGTAACTGAATGATAGTAATTTTGAGTTATTAGCTTTAAATTTCTTGTTATTCTAAATTGTGATCAGTGTTCTGTGAACAGTTAAATACATTGGGAACACTTGCTCTCTAAAAAGATGCTATGGAGAATTTTTTATGGAGTACATGATTCTTAATTCATCAACTTTATAACTTCTTAAGAAGTTATAATGTGTATGTACCATAAACAGACATAGTGTTTTTTGTATCTCTCTACAGCCCTATTGGAAATAATTATGAAAAATGGAAGCACAGCTGGGACTAGCCCTCATTGCCGAAAACCATCAGGTAGTGCTGATCAAAGCAAGCCTAATTGCACAAAGGACAACACGACTGGTAGTGGTGATGGAAAAGGCTACACCAAAGACCAAATAGATGGAGTTCTCAGGTAAGAATAAATATGACATATTTCAATTATAGTTGCTGCTAATGTAATTTTTAAATGGCATAGCACCTAAAACTATGTTTGAGTTATAATTCAGTAGAATAGACATTAAGGAATTGAACTCTGGGTATGTTATGTTTTATCTATATTATTAAAGGTCTTTGGCCCTATGCCATAATGATCAAAGGCCAGTGCAGGAGGGTGGTGCTCCGAGGGCAGTGAGATACACGCGGGTGGGCAGGACTGGGGAATTTCACACACTGAGCTTCTAGTGTTCCTTATAAAATCAGTGTGTAGCCCTACCCCCGTGATCGGCAAACTGCGGCTCGCGAGCCACATGCGGCTCTTTGGCCCCTTGAGTGTGTCTCTTCCACAAAATACCACGGCCTGGACTAGTCTACTTTGAAGAAGAGGTGTTAGAAGAAGTTTTATTTAAAAAAATTTGGCTCTCAAAAGAAATTTTAACCGTTGTACTGTTGATATTTGGCTCTGTTGACTAATGAGTTTGCTGACCACTGCCCTAGCCGATTTGGTTCAGTGGCTAGAGTTTTGGCCTGCTGACCCAAGGGCCCTGGGTTCAATTTTGGTCAAGGGCATGTACCTGGGTTGCAGGCTCCTCCCCAGTCTGAACCTTGATCTGAGTTTGTGCAGGAGGCAAGCAATTAGTGTGTTCCTCTTACATCAATATTTCTCTCAGTCTTTCTCTCTTCCACTATCTCTACAAATCAATGGGAAAATATCCTTGGGAGGATTAAAAATAAATTTTAAAAATAATAAATAATATACAAAATAAAATCAGTCTATAAACTGCCATCTTTATATTTTTTATAAAGTCAGATTGTACAATACCAACTCTATGGAAGGCTCCATCTTTTTTTTTTTAGTACTTCTAGATTATTATTTATATTCTTTACTAAGGTTATCTTTATATATATACTAGAGGCCCGGTGCACGAATTCATCACCGTGATCAGGGCTGATTGGGCTGCCCTCTGGTGGTCATTGTGCGTTATAGCCACTGGTCATTTGTTCGCTTAGGTTTTTATATATATAGATTTATAGATAGATAGATAGATAGATAGATATCGATATCGAGATATAGATATAGATAGATATAGATATAGATATGCAAACAGCATAATGTTCTTTTAAGTTTTGTGAATTTATTGGGATGATATCTTGCCCACTCCTGCCAGTTGGCTGTCCCTGATTGGCCCCAATTGGCTCTGATTGTCAGCCAGGCTGAGGGACCTGACCCAGGCACAAATTTGTGCACGAATTGCCTCTAGTTGGTTAATAAAATTATATAGATTTCAGTATTCAATTCTATAATGCATTGTCTGTAGATTGTATTGTGTGTTCATAAACATCTTCTTTGATTATCATTTATCCTCCTTTTTACCCTCTCCTACCTCCCTCCACCCACCTTCCCCTCTGGTAACCACCATATTGTTGTCTGTGTGTATAAGTTGTTATTTTTTATTATTACTAGAGGCTTGGTGCACGAATTCGTGCACAGGTGGGGGTCCCTCTGGGTGACCTGTAGGAATCCGGCCCCAGCTGTCTTCTCTAGCTTTGCAGCCCCAGCTCGTACCCCCAACTTTGCAGCCCCGCAGCTCTGCCTGGCACCTTTGCCTTGTGCCGCCCAGTTACCTGCTCCACCATCCCACCTGCAGGGTGATTGATTGAAGCTGGCTCCCTCAGCACCTAGGAGCTGGATGGGGGCCCCACCCTCCACCTACACTGCTGGTCACTGTCTGCAGGGCAATAAGTGGGGTGGTTGGGCCCCCACTCGTACCCACCTCATGCCCACTCACCTGCTCCACCATCCTGTTATGGTCCCGCTCTCATCGGCGCCCATTGGGGTTGGCAACAACCCTCCACTGCCGCCCTCAGCCAACACTGCCTCTCCAATGCCTGTCATGTTCCGCATCACCCTCTGATGGTCAGCACACGTCACAGTGAGCGGTCAGACAATTTGCATTAAGCTTTTATTTTATAGAAGAATTATTATTACTTAATCCTTTCACCTTTCTACCCAGCCCCCCAACATTCTAATTTTATTTTTTTAACTATTTTCTCTGCGTGTTTTAGTTTCACCTCATGATATGCTTCCACTGAAAGCAGAAGAATTAAATAGAGTTGAAAAATTATGAACTAGGTTTTAGAGATTTTACTAGTTTTGTAATTAAGAAAAAATTTTCTGGAAATCAGATGAACCTCTGAGTATGACACACTAGAGAAAATACTGTTTTGCTTCCTGCTACCATTTTAGGAAGCTATATTGATGTGGTGTTAATGTTGCTCTCTAGAGAAACTAAAATATAAGGATAAAGGACCCTGAACAGTGATTAATCAGTAATTCACACAGAGAATGAATTAAGTCAAGTGAATTAGCTAAAGTGAAGAGTCAGTAAAACTAGTTAGTCTTTTTGCCTTTTCTTATCTCTTTTATTCTTTTCTTTTTTCTTCATTCTTGCTTTTTAGTTTATTCTATTTTTACTCACCATAATTTGAAATTAAAATAATTTAAAATAAAATAGCAATTTCTTATGTATTTTGCTTTTTTCCTTATATATTTAGATGCTAAAACTTGATGTAAAAGAATCCCTAATTATGGTAAAGCCGTGATAAAGGGTATTTGATTAGCATGAATGGTAATGAAACACTAAGAATATGAGTAATGTTGCCCAGCCGTTGTGGCTCAGCAGTTGAGCATCGATGCAGGAACCAAGATGCCACTGGTCAGATTGCTGATCTGGGCACGTGCCCACGTTTCAGGCTCCATCTCCAGGTGCATGCAGGAGGCAGTCGATAAATGACGTTTCTCTCTCATCAATGTTTCTGTCTTTCTCTCCCTCTCCCTTCCTCTTTCTAAAACTCAGTAGAAACATATTAAAAAGATAAAGAATATAAGTAGTGTTGTTAACCACACTTTTATAACTATAGTATTTTGTCAGGGACGGCTAAGAAAGTGAGAAAGTGAATACATGAGACTTGCTTTTGAATTTCTTTAAGAAAAAGCTTTAATTAACCAATGTGTTGAAATGCACTCCCAAGAAAACATACCTATTTGAAAAAAAAATTTCATTTTTTGTAGAAATTGCTCTTTTGGGGGAGAACATGTCCTCAATGAAAGACCTAAGTAAAGTTAATTGTATACATGTCATTTTTACTTAGAATCATTAAGTGATTTTTTTTAAGAAAGACTATAGAATCACCTATATATTTGAAAATGTAATTTAAACATACAGTTGAAATTTTTGGTGAACAGGAATATTCTAAATCTGGTTAAAAAAAATCTTTGTTTAATATTTTCTCTACTTTAACTTTGAAGGGAGGAGTACAACATAGTAGCAGTCAAACTCCCAGTAGAAATGAGGCATGGTAAAAATGCTTTTTTTTTTTTTTTTTTTTTTTTTTTTTTTTTTTTTTTTGCTATCTCTCTGTTCTAGTATATAGAGTACATCTTAAGAGTGGAAGAGAGATGGTTGTGAGTACAGATACATTTGTATATGGTCAGAGTTGGCCAGATGGAAACATAAAATGTTGAGGGAGTTTCTGTCAGTTGGCTTCTATACTCTCTGAAATTGGAGATGAGGTTATCTTTTGAGAGTTATGAGAAAAGAGATGAGATTGAAAGCTCGAGAATGGTAAAAGAATGAAATATTTGCAGAGCAGAAAAGCAAAGGGAATGGAAAGATTGCTGGTTAGCATTTGGGACCCAGCTATGCTTGAGACTATGAATTCTTATCTGGAAGAAGTATTAGCTTAGTAGTATACCTACATTAGAAATTGTTTCTCTGCTCAATAATTTTATTATACATTTTTTATTAAGAAATTTAGTTATTTTTCCCCTTTTGGGGAAAATATGATTGAAACATCCTAATATATAAAAACCCTGGGTCCGTCACACCCATAATGACCGGGAGGCTTGACCAACTGAAAGTCAGCCCTTCAGGAATCTCTGAGTCATCCTGGCGACCCAGTGCTGACTGCCATGGCTACAGACCTGGTGACCCAGTACTGACTGCTGGGCCTGCGAATCAGGCCCAGAGAGTGGCCTGAAGAGAGGAGCAGGGTCTGAATTGTATCGTCCGTGGCAGCTACTGATCAGCACTTGCTTCTTTCTTTAGCTCTAGGCCTGGTCAGAAGCCGCATCTCCATTTCTCTCCAGGCCTCCACCAGGGCTGCTGATCATCCCTGCCTTTCTGATTAGGCCTTGTTGATAGGCCCAGAGACCCTGACTGGCATAAGAACCAACCAATCAGAACCAAATCTGGGTCAACTGTGAAGAGCCAATGGCTGTTTAGGAGGCAGAGCTGCTTGGCATAGAAACCGACCAATCAGAACCAAATGTGCCAGCAGAGAGTAGTTGGGGGTAAAATCAGGCTGGCAGGGGAAGTCAGTTGGGGGCTATCAGGCCAGCAGGGGAGCAGTAAGGTGTTAATCAGGCCAGCAGGGGAATGGTTAAGGGGCAATCAGGCTGGCAGGCAGGCAGGTAGGCAGATGAGCAGTTAGGAGCCAGCAGTCCCAGATTGTGAGAGTGATGTCTGACTGCTGGTTTAGGCCTGATATCACAGGCAGTCAGACATCCCCCGATGAGTCCCAGATTGGAGAGGGTACAGGTTGGACTGAGGGACACCCCCACCCCCAGTGCACAAATTTCGTGCACCAGGCCTCTATTTCTTAAAGAGAATCCCTAACTTATTCAAAATACTTAGTTAATAACTTTATAAGAGTTGATTAGTTCAATTATGGATCACTTATTCATTATATTAGTCTTCCTAAGTATTGCTTTAGTGAGGTTAACAGATCACCAGCAAACACTTAAATGCTGTATGTTTTTGTTTTTGTTTTACCTATACACAGGGGGTTTTCAGAAGAAAGTTATCTTGTTGTTAGCACAATTATGCAAACAAGTTGCTCAGTGACAATTTGGCTCAATGGGAGAAGCCATGCAATAATGCTGCATCTATTACATAAGTAAGACTAGCTTACAGTAAGACCGAAGAAAAAGGGATATAACTTTGTAAAAGTAACTTTCTGTGAAACTAAGCACATAACAATGAATTGAGATATAACATATTGAATATATTGAGTTGAAATATATTGAAAATCTGAGGAAAAGGTGTCATGGATTTAATATGAAAGATTTTTAATATCTCATTTTTAAAAGTCCATCTATTTTAACAAGATGAGTGTGAAATCATTAACTGGACTGTCTTTATAGTTATTTATTCAAAACACTTCTGTATAGCGGTTAGGTAATTTGAATGATGGGGATTTTATTAGGATATGACTTAAATTTATAGTTCTTTAAATGAAAAGAAATTATTTTGCTAAACTTATAAAATAAACCTTTGCCTCCAAGAATAAATGTTTCCTTAAACACTAATAAATATGGAATCTATTTAAATAACCATCTATATTATATTAAACAAAAAAGAATTGAAAAAAGACCCTCTTCCCCTGCCCACAAGGTAAATAAGAAACAGTGCCTGCCTTCAAGGGACCTAAGTCTAGAAAGACTAGTCACAGGCATGTACACAGGTAGCAGCAGTGCAGTGTGGTAATTGCTGGAATAGGGCTAAGTTCCAAGAGCTTTGAGAGGCTCTAAGAGGGTCACCAACCTTGCCTTGAGGATTTTTTGAGAGAAAGAGCTAAGTGAGTTTGAAGAAGTGGTGGAAACTAAGCAAGAACGGAGGCAGAAAACACATGTTCTGGCACCAGAAAGACATTTGAAAACATTTAAGAGGGAAGAAAGTGTGTTTAAACCCTTATTAGAAAAGCAAATTGCAAGGAAGGAGATGGTTAGTTACTCTGGAGTCTGAGGAGGTTCCTTTTCTTCTTCATTCTGGTTCTCAACAAGATTTTTAAGTTGTACAAACTGATATTTGAATTCTTACTTGTACCTTTCCTAATCACTGTAGCAGCCTCCTCTTCCATTCCCATTGCCACTTCATTTTTCTCTAAATATTCATCACCATGTGATATACTTTATATTTTACTTGTATATCTGTTCATTGCCTGGTCCTGTCCCAATTGTAAATTGAATGTGAGCAGGCATTTTTGTATTGTTTTATTCCCCACTATAGCCTCTGAAACAGCATTTAGCAGAAAGTAGATGTTCAGTAAATTTTTGTTGAAGAAATAATCCTGCTTTCTTCCCATCTATTACTTCGTTATATGACTTGGCAGTTTGCTTAACTTCTCAAAGCCTTGATTTCTTCATTGGTTAATTAGAAATAAAATCTACCTAATGAGGAGTAAATGAGATAATTTATGTAAAATAATCAACATAAGATTCTACAATTCTCTATGTGAAAATTCAGTGGACCAGATATAGTGTGTAATTTGAATCATTCATATTTAGAAAGGTAATAAGAAGTATGCATTATATGTTACATAACTGGTAAGCAGCTCGGACCCTAATGGTAACATTTCTGCAACAAAACATACAACTATTCACTTAAATGGGATATATGAAGACTGTGTAGCAGATTCACATTTGTTCAGATCAAATTTTACCTTTAAGAATTCAAGTCAGGTTTTTGCAATCAGCTTATTAATAGAATAATTTAATGTTTTTCCAGAGCTTGTTAGAACATGGATATTCTTAATGGATATTGGAGCATGGATACTGCTTTTAAAGCAGTTTTACTATACTCTTTTTAGAAGTCTGTGTCTGACACACAGAAGGTGTTCTATAAATGTTCCCTTCCCCTTTTTCTGTTGCATAGTTTTTAATCATATTCAGGAGAGTGAGTTTCTTCTATGGTGGGATCATTCTTTGTTTTGTTCACAAATGTTTTAAATGTCTGAACACTATCTGGGACATAGGTGGTACTCAATAAATATTATTGACCAAATAAAGAAAATATCATATTCATGAATAAAATTGACTTGTGTTAATATTTGTTATCTAAAGTAGAAAAATCCAATTATAATTATCATTATTATAAAGAAGGATTGGGTATCAGATTTTAATTTGTGATAATGGAAAAATTTCTATAATTTTAGTTATATAAGGTCTTCTTTCTTTTTTCTCTCCCCTATTTTACATACCAAATGATAAAGCTCTTCTTTTCATTATAAAAGAAGAGCTTTATGCTCATTTATTCCAGAAATATTTACTGTGAGCCTATCATGTACCAAGCGGTATGATGAATAATATATTTAGTAGTTTAAAAAAAGATCAGTCCTGTCTCTCTTCTTTGGAAACTTTGAGTCAGTGTTTGAAATACTTTTGCTGCCAGTGAACAATTATACCTCAAATATCTTTTTACCTGTTTCTACCTCTGTCATCAAGCCACTTACACATGGAACACATCTAGAGTCATAAAGTCGGCTACAAAAATGTATATGATGTAACTGGATTTTAGTGAATAAAAATTTTTAGGTTGTGAGAGAATGTTAGGATCCAAAAGTATTAATTTTCTCAGTCCCATTTAGAATATTTTTTTCCCTAATATACTTTAAAAACTCTGGCTTTAAATCAATTACATCTTTAGGGTTATAAACTATGTAAGTACAATAGGACCTTGGATAATGATTCATTCAACATTGTTTCATTATAACATTGATGAGATATTATAATGTAGGAACTTAACTCTTGTTTATGTAAGTTAGCCTATGGTAAAATTTATTTTGTTACACATCATTTTGCTAAGACACAAAACCACATCAAGTGAGGATTTACTGTAATCTTTAAGAATATGCTTATCACAATGAAAATGGGAATAACAAATAATTTTGTGTCCCAAGATATATTTTATCATGAGATTTTATCTTTCACCAATGAATTCTCTTTAGCATGGCCAAGATGAATTGACTTGCCTTGACATTTAAACCATAGTGTGCTGTGATTGTTTTTACATGCACTAAACTGTTGTTTGATATTTGGTTAGGTATACATTACAGGACAGCAAAACTCTTGAGTATAACGTAGACTATTCTTTAGCTGCAATATACTTGTGAGGATTATTGAATTTCTTTATGCTTATCCTTTGTGCTCTGTCCTTTACCCACAGTTGTTACGGATTTTGCTTTACTTCTATGTAGTTCTGATAAATTATACCAAGGACATTCTCATGGTCAACTCTTCTTAGACTGGGAAGAAGTTGGAGGAATGGTCTGGTCAAAACACAGATGAAATCATTAACCCTTAATAGGATAAGCTATTATTTGATATTGAGGAAACAATCCACAGACAGTTCTTTATACTCTTCTAATAAATAAAACATTAGAGCTATTACATAAACTTCTTCCTTGAAATTTTCATTATAACACACTCTCTTGTTCACAGCATAAACAAATGTAAAAATTACTATGAAGTACTTGGAGTTACCAAAGATGCTGGTGATGAAGATTTGAAAAAAGCTTATAGAAAGCTTGCTTTGAAGTTTCATCCAGACAAAAACCATGCACCTGGAGCAACAGATGCTTTTAAAAGTAAAGTAAACCCTTTAAAGCAATTTTACCAAGCTCTTCTTAGAAGCCAGTTAGTGTTTCAGAATATTAAATTCTGCCTTTAGTCTGGTGCCTAGAAGTCAGCATAAGGGTCCTCAAAATCCTTTAAAACTTCACTATGAACTTGTTCTAAGAGCCAAACAAATGCAATTTGGTTTCATGAAAGCAACATGCTTTCTAATTTACTGCGCACAGTGGGTAATGATTATGCATGAGCCTCTAGTGTATTACCATCTGGTTCTAAGGGAACTAAAAGGAAAATAGAGATTTTGTGAGTTTTTTAGATATTAGAAATATTAAGGTATTAGAATTGGGAAATTACTTGGAATTGCTATCTGCCCAGTGATTTTACATTTCTATCAACTCTGGCCAAGTTTTGTATTTTTTATATGTAGTTCTAACTAATGTGATTTTTTTCTTTTTAATTATTAGTTTCATTTGTCTGGCCTACTCTTTATTTGTCTTAATTTATCAATATTATTTTTTGGGGTCAATTTAGGAAATAAACATAAAATAACTGATTTTGTAATTTTATATTTTGCTCTACAGAAATCACTCAATAATTAACTTCTAGTTCATAGGAAAATGCTTAAATTTATGATTATTTGTTTTTATGAATTTGGCATTTATAGAACCAAGTACAATGCTTACAATGAAATAAATGCTGAGATCTTGGAATACTAGGAAGGATATACTCATTTTTAAAATATTTCTAAAAGATAGAGGACTCAATTGATCTTTCCTGCAAAACAGTTTCCAAATGGTTTTATTTCTTAAAGGAAGTGGCCAAGCAAAATGTGTTTGGGGATTGTTAATATATTCCAATAAAAACAGCCACCAAAGTGATACTAAGTGAAAGTAAAATAATCACCATGACTGAGCTTTCTCTGATTGGTTCCTTAAATTAATGGTGTCTTGGGTAATACAGGAAATTTTTCTTTACTCAAAAACACTAATTTAACTCTAGCATATATGCCCCCAAAAGTTAAGCAAAATTTTCACATTATGAATTAAAATTAAAATAACTTAATATTTTTATTTTTTATTTTTAGTTTTTTATATATTTTATTGTTCTTTTATTGAGAGGAAAGGAGAGGGATAGAGCGTTAGAAACATCGATGAGAGAGAATCATCAATCAGCTGCCTCCTGCACACCTGCTACTGGCGATGTGCCTGCCACTAAGGTACATGCCCTTGACCAGAATAGAACCTGGGACCCTTCAGTCCCCAGGCTAACGCTCTATCCCATGAGCCAAACTGGCTAAGGCATATTTTTTGTTTTTCAAACATTTAAAAACATAGCGGCAGTAAGTTATTTGCATGTTTGTGATCTGCTAGGTGATATCATTATTCATGTTGAGAAAGTTAAGCTGCTTTTTTTCCTCCCATTTCTGCACTGAAGTTATGTTAGCATTATTGGTTTTGGAATAACAATAAGTGGATATACCAATATTTGTATAGCCTGTGTTGTATTTTGAGGTGGTGAACAGCATAAATATTTCCCCAGCTAGACACCCAGAAGGGGTTTAACAAAAATGATTCGTTATACCTTGGTTTTAGTATATTTTAGATTTCAATGTTCTGCTTTACAAAATTAGAAAGTTAATATTTACCAACATGCTAGAAATTGATTTATCTCTAGAGGAAAGACTTATATTATTCAGTATGCAGGAGATTATCTATAAATCAGAATGCCAATTAATCCCAAAGAAGATTAGAATAGGGAGTTTTTTTATGAGCCCATTTTTCATTGAGTGAAAGCTGCATAGAAAACCCAAGTTGTAATCTATAGATAGTTGGTGAGTAAAGGCAGTTAATTAGAAAATATTACATCTAGTGTCATCATACAGAAATGACAAGTTTCATTCATCCAGCACACAGGATCTTTTCATTACCTTGTGGGTCATCTTACTTTAATTTTAACCAGTCAAACCTAACTTCTGTTTTGAAGATACCAAGCTATTTCTTCTAAGCAAGACTATAGTAAATATAGGTAAATATAGGTTGATTGCTTTGTAATTACTAAAACATTTTTTGCAGAACATGAAACCACTTGCTTTTAATTTCCTCTTAGAAAAAGAGGGATAGCTGAAAGGGTTTGGCTTAGTGGATAGAGTGTCGACCTGCAGACTGAAAGGTCCTGGGTTCGATTCCGGTCAAGAGCATGTGCCTTGGTTGTGGGCACATCCCCAGTAGCGGGTGTGCAAGAGGCAGCTGATCAATGATTCTCTCTCATCGATGTTTCTAACTCTCTATCCCTCTCTCTTCCTCTCTGTAAAAAAATCAATAAAATATATTAAAAAAAAAAAAAAGAAAAAGAAAGAAAAAGGGGGGTAATTTGTCTAGGGAATTAAGTTAGTACAGATATTTTCATTTGTGTTTTGTAAAGCGTTAAAAATAAAAGGTTCCAACAAGGAGGGTAGAGTAAATGGATTTTCAAGTTCATGTGGCTGTTTGTTCTTTACAGTTAGGATTTTAAGTTTCTCAGAGCATGGAATATTATATATATTAATATAAAATATATATATATATTAATATATTTTATTGATTTTGTAGAGAGAGGAAGGGAGAGAGAGCGTTAGAAACATCGATGAGAGAGAGTCATCGATCAGCTGCCTCTTGCACACCCCCTACTGGGGATATGCCCACAACCAAGGTACATGCCCTTGACCGGAATCGAACCCGGGACCCTTCAGTCCCCAAGCTGACGCTCTATCCACTGAGCCAAACCGGTCCCGGCTTTATTTATATTTTGAGAGTGATTGCATAATATGTATAAGCACACCTAAAAGCAATACTTGACTGAAATATTTCCCTTCTATCTGACCTGGATATTTTCAAAACAGTAACATTGTCTTTAGAGACTCACAAGTATTTTAGACACTATCTGAACAGTATTTGTGTGTTTTTATGTATACATGAATGTCATTAAAAGGGACATGAATTAGCTGCATACGTTTGCTTGTAAAATGAGAATGGATCAGAGATATTGCCTGTGTTAGGTCTGGTACAATATTTTTAATATCTAGAGTGTATCTCTAAACATAAAGAAGTCAATTCTGCTCTTTAGCCTAATTCTTATAGACAATATGAGAATATGAAACGCCCTCTTACTCAAAGAATTTGTCATTCATAAAGGGGAGTCAAGTCTTATAGACTACATTTGAAATAATAATAATACTTTACATTTGGCAAGCATTTTATAGTTTTTTATTTAATGCTTATTAAATACTAGTGACCCAGTGTGTGAATTTATGCACATTGAAAGGAATTAAGTAGGATAAATATTTTAATATCGCTGTTCGCCATTTCTCTATAATAGAAATGTCAACCAAAGTCATGATCAACAATGACAGGTCGAAACACGCGTGCAATTGGTGGCAGTGAGAGCCTTATATGTATTGTTCATGTGCAAGTCAACTTAGCCTTTTATAGATAAAGTATAAAACTTGCTTAATTAGATCTGCTTTCTGATTTAGCTGAACTTTTTTCAGCCCAGTGAAGCACCCCCAACTTCTCTTTAAGTAATTGTCAGCAACACAGTAAATGTCAACACGAAGCAGATTATTATTATAGATTAGGCAGGGAAAACAAAGGGTAAAATATTTACTGTAGCAGTGTTTGACTATATTTTGTGCAGTGAGAAAACCTGAAGTCGTTTTTAAGGTCCACCATTTCTTACCTCTTTTTAATCGGGTCAAGTTTCTAAGCTTTCCAAATCTCTGTTTTCTGGATAATGAAAAGAAAATAGGATTCCACTGAGTCTCCTCTCTACCTACTCCAGGACTTCTGTGAGGATCAAATGAGATGAGGCACGATTAAGTTCTAAAACTTATATTATTAGGGGAAATACAACTTTGGCAGATATTGATAGCTATGGTTTTTTTGTAGGTATGGGTTAAAACCTTGGTGTTGTTTGTCAGTACATTGTTTGGATCTCTGATTACTATTATTGTATGCTTCCACATTGGAGCAACTTTATAAAGGATAGCTGTATTTCTAAGTCATAGATCTGTCTGAAATCTGAAGAAATTTTTGTACCATCTCTTCAAATAAAAGGATCATCCACCTAATTTTTCATACATTAGAGTTCACATACCATCAGAGACATATCTTTGAAATCCAGACTTAAGAAGCCCTATCAGAAGAAAAGTTCCAGAGTATCTGTATCATTAATTTCAGTGATAGGTGATCGGCCCAAAACAACTGCCTAATGAGCATCTGTTTGCTTGCACAGTGCCTATGGCAGCCACCACAAGGGACTCAAAAAGTATTTTTAAAATATCCCATATTGCAAGAGGTTTATGTGATTTAGTTTAAGAAGAAAACTAAATGATTATTAGAAGTGTCAGGATGGTAGTTTCTGCTTTTGTAAATTACAGTAAGACATTTTGATAACCTATGTACAATTGCTTCTTTTTAAAAATAATTTTTAAAAAGTCTTCCATTACATTTAACATACAATATTATATTAGTTTCAGGTGTACAACCTAGTCATAAGACATTTATATAACCTATGAAGTGGTTACTCTGATACCGTTGTCTCTCATATGGGAGTATGAGATAGAGAATTCTTTATAATTAAGTATGAAGAAAGTAACAAAATGAGATGGGAAAACTAGAGACTATCTGGATTCATTCAGAAGTGGCTCAGTGGGTGAGCATCAGCCTATGAACCAGGAGGTCATGGTTTTATAACCATCAGGGCTCATGCTCAGGTTGTGGCTTGATCCCCAGTAGGGGGCATACAAATGGCAGCCAATCAATAATTCTCTCTCATCGTTGATGTTTCTCTCTCTCTCTCCCTCTCCCTTTGTCTCTGAAATCAATAAAAATATATTAAATAAGCCAAAACTGGTTTGGCTCAGTGGATAGAGCATCAGCTTGCGGACTGATGGATCCCGGGTTCGATTCCAGTCAAGGGCATGTACCTTGGTTGCGGGCATATCCCCAGTAGGGGGTGTGCAAGAGGCAGCTGATCTATGTATCTCTCTCATCAATGTTTCTAACTCTCTATCCCCATCTCTTCCTCTTTGTAAAATCAGTAAAATATATATTTTTTTTAAAAAAGAAAAAAAATATATTAAATAAAAACAAATTTAGACTTTATTCTGAACTATTGGAATAATGCAGTGAAAACATAGACATAGTTTCTTCTCTCATGAAGTTTACAGTTTTAAGAGGAATACATTTTTCAAAAATAGAATAAAAATAACTCATTCTGGGCTGGAGTATGCAAACAACAAAAATATATTATGTAGGTTGCATAGAGTTGACTTGCTAAAAAGCTTTTTTGACATTGAACAAGTTTCCTAATCTTCTTGAGCCTTATGAGGCTCATTTGTACCATGGGCATAATAATGAATAATATATAAGGTTTGGGGTTCAGAGCCTGGCAGTAGTACCTACTACTTACTATAATTATTGGTCTGAATGGCACTAATGAATGACTAGATCAGGATACTCAAAGTGAAGAAGCAGATTGTTCGGGGATGAAGCCCAATAGTAAGAAAGTAAGATGGACATTTCCTTACATTTAAGGCAGTAGGGAGACTTGCTTGTCTACTATAAAGAATTGTATTGGGAGGTAATAAGATGTGTAATTGCAAGCAAGTATAAGATCTTTACAAGAAAGTGTTACTGTTTTACTCTTTTGTTGATGAGCCTCAAATAGTTTTTGTTATTGTTAACATGACAGTTTTTATATGGGGCAGTCTTTCATAATATAAAAACTTTGCTTACCAACTCTTACTCATTACTTTTTCAGAGATTGGAAATGCTTATGCTATTTTAAGCAATCCAGAAAAACGAAAACAGTATGACCTCACAGGCAATGAAGAACAAGCATGTAATCCACAAAACAATGGTAGATTTAATTTCCATAGAGGTTGTGAAGCTGATATAACTCCAGAAGACTTGTTTAATATATTTTTTGGTGGTGGATTTCCTTCAGGTATTTTAATGTTAATTATAAGTGTTTTATTTTATGAAGCTAGAGATTCTTACTTCCAGGTAGGCTATTTAGTGATTTATCTACCTTCTTGCCTGTATTTCTTACAGCATTATTATCCTGTGATGGTTTTTTATGAAAGTAAAGAAAAATGTTATACTCATTATTTTTACTATAAGTCTGCCTTTTTCCTAGAACATAATTTAAATTAAAAGAAAATATGAAGAGTACCAATTTTCTATATTTTACATAAAGCTGAAGAAAGGATATAAGTAGGAAATCCAGTGATAATGTCTTAGTTAAGTGCAATTATGGCTATGGATAACTATTTGACATTGATTCTCTGGAAATCTTTGTATATATTATAATATTACAGATTGTTAATTTTGATATATGTGGAAGTGCTTTCCAATGAAATATTAAAATGTCTGATTTATAAGTTATATAAAAAGTGAGTGGGTTTTAAAAATTATATTGGAATAGAAATAATTACTTGAACTAGGCTATCAAAGTAAAATATTGTAGAGTAGTACTAAATGAATAGATTTTATAATACTAGCATAAGTAGTATTATGCTAGTTTATATTTACTGTGAGTTGTTGTATGGAAATTAATTTTCTTTAAGAGCAGCTCTTCTTAGGTGTTTATAATTAAAGCTCCAGTCTTTTTTTTTTTTTTTTTTTTACAACATTTCCTTAAGGTTCTATAAGTTAAACATCCTATTCCAAATTAGGAGAACTTTTATAAACACAGCAATATAATTTGGTCTGGTGGCCCTGTCTGAATTTTTCTGAGAAAGATTGTAGTCATAGATAGGACATTTTATAAAGAATCCTTGAAGGGACAAAGAATGTGTAAATACAAATTAATGACTGAAAATATAACTGCATTTTTAAATATTAGGATATATATCTCAGACTAAAAATATGCTAGGAACAATTAAATATTTTTTAGGTAGTAGTGAATTTTCTGATAGTATTTTCACAGTTCTTTTTTTGCCTTTGTAATATAGTTTGTTTTGTCAGTTGTAGCTATTTCTGGTTGGTCACTTTATTTGAAAACAACTTGAATATCCTTAAGAAGGAGAATATTTGAATAAATCGTGGCTTACCTCTATCATAGTGTAGTCTACAACTATTTTTAAAAATAATTTTTTATTTTTAGATATATTTGTGATTAGTTGATAAATGCAGAGTGCGGGGTTTCAGAGAAGTGACCCAAGGTTCATAAAAGCAAGCAACCACAACAAAAGTTCTCTGTGTATGCATATTAGGGAATAACTTAGATTCTGATTTTCATAAAGAGAGAATTCTACTTTACTTGAAAGGAAGCAAAATCTGGGAAGAATCATTCCTGTTTCCCTTCACCCTTCACTCATAAAAGGAGGAGCCAATTAAACATTCACTGCTCAAACATGTATTATTTTGGTAATTTTTAAAAATTTAAATATTACAAATATAAATAAAACTAAAAGTATTTTCTTTGTAAAAAATATGATTTTTAAAAATCATTGCTCTCCCTAATTTAACCTTTTAATTTTCTCTAGGTAGTGTACATTCATTTTCAAATGGGCGAGCTGGTTATAGCCATCAACATCAGCATCGGCATAGTGGACATGAAAGAGAAGAAGAAAGAGGAGATGTATGTTTATGATATGATTAGAAATTATAAAATGGCAAATTTCAGCTCAGGAAAAGCAATTCGAGTTGTCTGAAAATAGAGCTAGTTTTTCTAAAAGGAAGTAATGAGTTTTCTCTTACCAGAGTCATTCAACAGAGACTAGAATATTCCTTAGAGATATTAGGTGAGCAGGAAGGGTGGTTGGGCAATATGAAGCCTTTAGATTTGGTATTCTGTGATTCTAACGAAGGTAATCTGCAGTGTGTGTATTTTGAAGGTTACTTTTCATTTAGTCCTAAAGAATTTAGAATTTATACTGAAAAACTTAAATTGGATATAACAGTTATACCTGATTGCATATAGCAATTAGGTCATCTGAAGTGGAAAGAGCACTAGACTAGAAATTAAAAGGCCTGGGCCCCTACTCTACCATTCAGTCTTCCAGTGCTCTCTCTACCTTCAAATCCAGAGTAGAAATACAGCCTGTTGCCTATTGATAGAATCTGTGGGTATGAAAGAGAGTTCTCATCTGTAAAATAAGATCAGGTTGTTTCAGTGTTTTCCAAATCAGGATCACTAAGTGAAGCACCAGAGAGCTAAATTTTTAAGAATCACCTCAGGAAATTGTTATGTTCAGGCAGATTTGAAAGCATTGAACCAAATGATCTCAAATGGCCCTTCTGCCCCTAAAAATGCATGACAACTGTTGGGTTATTGACAACTAGTTATAATTTGTTATTCTTTGATGATCTTTTTACAGGGAGGCTTTTCTGTGTTTATCCAGCTGATGCCCATTATTGTATTGATCCTTGTGTCATTATTAAGCCAACTGATGGTCTCTAATCCTCCTTATTCCTTATATCCCAGATCGTAAGTAGTTAAGTGAAGTTTTGTAAATAAGAATTATTGTTTTATCTGACTTTCATTAGAAGGCCTTGTGATTTTTTTAAAACTTTTAAGTGCCAAATCTTCTGTGACTACAAGTAATACTAGGTTTTAAAATGTCTAATTTTAAAATAGTTTACTCAAGTGATACATTTATATTATGTTGTTAGTTTATATCTGTTCCATTATGGATAAGGACAGTACTATATTTGAACTTGCTAGCAATTTCATGTAATAAGTAATGGCATTAAAGGAAAAGTACTTTAAAAGACAAAAATAGAATTGTCATTAATCTTACAGAGATTTGTGTTATTAAGGAGGGAATGATTTCACTCTTCTATTTGTTAAATATTAAGTAAAAACATTTGTTATATGAAACATTTTTCCATAATATATTTGATATATGAGGTCCGTACATAAAAGAAATTTAATGCAGCATCTATTCTAGAACTTTAGTGTAATACAATGAATATATAGGAAACTTTGTAAAATCATACTGCCAATGATTTTACAGTATTAAAAACATTGGTCTAAAAGGAAGAAATAACTTTATATTTCTTCCAAATGAGATTTTTATTCACTAAAAATTGAGAAAACTTATAAGAACATAGTATATTAAAATATGATTACTTTTTTATTACATAAATGGTAGTAGTTGTGAATTTGAGATAATGTAAATAAGTGATTACCAATAATTTTAATTTTTAATTATTTTTGTTAGCTTGGTTTATAGTAGATCAGCATGTAAAATTTTAATTAAAAATAATGATCAAGCATTTCTTTTACAGTGGATCAGGGCAAACTATTAAAATGCAGACAGAAAACTTAGGTGTCGCTTATTATGTCAACAAGGACTTTAAAAATGAATATAAAGGAATGTTATTACAAAAGGTAGAAAAGAGTGTGGAAGAAGATTATGTGACTAATATTCGAGATAATTGCTGGAAAGAAAGACAACAGAGTAAGTTGATCAAATGTTTAACATTTAAAAACTTATTCAAAATCTTGGAAAGTGATTACTGTAGATTTTCTTACTTAAGGAATGTTCTAGAATTGCCTATTATATAATCAGAACTCAATTCTTAAACGAGTCAGTATTTTTTAACGTACATGTGGCCTGTAACAGTATTCATAATATAGCAAGGACTTAAATGGTATTTGTGTTACTATTGTTATCAATAAATATTAAGTTGAATAAGTGAATATCATCATCATTGGGATAATTGTTGAAATTGAATGTGGACTACATATTAGCTGGTATAATATCATTGTTAACTTTCTGAATTTGAAAATAGTATTGTGATTATATAAGTGAGTGCCATTGTTCTTAAGAAAAATATGCTCAAGTAATTAGGAATGAAAGGTCATGATGTCTGTAACTTATTCTCAAGTGGTTCTAGAAAGTAGTAATAACCACCACAACAATCACAATAGCTTTTATTGTAGAGGCAGTAAAAGCAAAATTGACAAAATATGAGGATAGGTTTGAATTTTTCAAAATAAAATCCAATAAATTCAGTACATAGTGATTTTGAATGAAGATGGAAGTGAGAGGGGCTCAGAATAACATCAGTGAATGTTTTACTAGTTAAGTAAAATGAGATTATCTTCTTTTGCAAATTAATACCATCAATAAGATTTTTGGGCCCTAACTGGTTTGGGTTAGTGGATAGAGCATCGGCCTGCAGACTCCAAGGGTCCCAGGTTCGATTCCCAACAAGGGCATGTGCATGTACCTTGGTTGCGGGCACATCCCCAGTAGGGAGTGTGCAGGAGGCAGCTGGTCGATGTTTCTCTCTCATCGATGTTTCTACTGTCTATCCTTCTCCCTTCCTCTCTGTAAAAAATCAATAAAATATTTTAAAAAAAGATTTTTGGCCAATGAATATTCTTTTGCCAGTGTTTTTCTGTTTTGGAGTCACTTCTAACACTCTCTAATGCTTAAATTGGTAAAATAGATGTTTTATGAAATACAAGAAATAATCTGAAGTAATGGAAAGAATATTAGACTAAGATTTGGTTTGGAATCTAGGTTCTGCCATTCACTAGCCCTCTGAATTTTGAGTTAACTACTCATTTGGGAAGAATCAGCTGCAAATGGATTTTCTAAGTGCCTCATTTGTAAATATATTAGTTGTTAAATTCAAACCTGAATGATTAAATAAAGATCTTTCTTGAAGATATTTAAAAAATAGAAAATACTCTAGCCGAAACTGTTTTGGCTCAGTGGATAGAGCGTTGGCCTGTGGACTGAAAGATCCCAGGTTCGATTCCAGTCAAGGGCATGTATTTTGGTTGCAGGCACATCCCCAGTTAGGGGGTGTGCAGGAGGCAACTGATCCATGATTCTCTCTCATCAATGTTTCTAACTCTCTATCTTCTCTTCCTCTCTGTAAAAAATCAATAAAATATATTAAAAGAAAAGAAAGAAAATACTCTTTCTTTGGGTATTCTGTTTGTGGTCCTGTCTGATGTCCTCTACTCTGGTCACTGTTTCCCCCTTTTTTTTTGTTAAATGTTCTCTAAGTACTGCCACCTTTTCGAAGTGGTAACAAACAGTGAAATGGCTGAGAAAAACAGGAAAATAATAAGGAAAACTCTGAAGAGTATTTGATACCTACTTCATTTATTTTTCTTTAGTAATGCATTCCACATTCTGAAGGCAACCTCAGAAGTACTTATTGCTGAATGTCACTGCTATGATTATAGAGGAAGCTTTTTTCCCCTCATTTGTGTTCCTTCAGTACAGTTATTGTGTGTGTGTATATATATATATTCAAGCAAAATCAGAACAGATTTCAAAGTTTTCCACTTCCAAGTTTTGAAAATAATCAAATAATGTGAAACCTTAACAAAAGGTCACAGCAAAAACAACCACCAGCAGAAAACCATATGGACTCAAGATGCTGCTTTAGAGCAGTACTTCTTAAACCATTGGGGACAGGAGTAGAGGGAAAAGGTTGACAGGACTCCATCCTTATTTCTCTTCCAGAGCAATTCTGTGTTTTACATGCTAGGTTTCCAAGTAGCTTTTAGGAGTAGCACTTGGACTTCTTTCTTAAAAAAAAAAAAAAAAAGTCAATTAACAGAAGTACATTGAAGGGTTTCTTATGAAACATCATTTGTGTTAAAACTTGTTGATTTAAATTATTATTTACTTAGCAAAATATTTTTGTTTATGAACAGAAATAGATATGCAATATGCAGCAAAAGTGTACCGTGATGAACGACTTCGAAGGAAGGCAGATGCCTTGAGCATGGACAACTGCAAAGAACTGGAGCGGCTGACCAGTATTTATAAAGGAGGATGAACTGGAATTTTATTTATATCTTTTAGCATACTATTTATTTTTTCTGTGAGTTTAGTTTCATCATGAGAGCTAAAGAAAAAGATTTGTTAAAAACTAAACTGAATAGTTGGTCCCTGAAATTTTGGATTGTTTATGACGTATTCCTTTAAATAGTAATAAACTGAACAACTAACAGTAATATTTTAGTAATGCTTCTGTAATTATTTTCATTTTAAAAGCTTTTACGATTACTAACTAAAAATGTCTCAAGAAAGGATTATCATACCTGTAGTAGTTTCCAGTTTTAGTGATTCTCCATTTTTCTCAGTTATGTAAATATTTATGAAATGATCATTTTGTGTATATGTAAGTTATTGCCTTTTTATTTAAAATCTTTTAGTGTTTAGCTCCATGAGATACTTCACTTTAAGTTGATAAAATAAATATTTTGTGACAAAATTACATGTTACTTTTTAGATGTTGAGTGTGTAGTTTAAACACAACTTTTTCAAAAAGAAAAAGAAAATCAAAAGATATTTAAATTAATTTTCTGTAAAATCTTGTAGCATTATTTGCTATTTTAATATTGCCATTATATTCCAAAATATATATTGAGGTAAATGAACTGGTATAGAATATCAATTTGCTATTTATTTAGTTTTATGAATTGCTAAGCCATGCAGAGAAATGAAATGCTATACTGATAGATTTTAAAGAAAATATGAGGAAATGGCTATATAGATATTAAACAAAAAGGGGCTTCAACAGTAAATTGCATTTATGTCATTTCCAATTCCAATTATTAAAATGCCCCCAAATGTTCAGAGACAGGGGAGGACAAAAGTAGGTTTACAGTATTAACACAAATAAATATTACATAATTAATGAATTATAACAGAATAAACTGTTTTGTGTACTCACAACTATAAATCTACTTTTGCCCACTGTTGTATATGTATTTGAAAGCTGCTAAACTTTACGAAGAGAACTAACATGTTTCCTTCTCCCCCATGGAAATTTGCAGTTTCTTCTTGGTGATAATTTAAGCAGAATCCAAAAGTAAATGGTTTCTTCTACAAATAATAGGAAAAATTACTACTTTGCTTTGTGCCTTTTAAACTGATTGCCAACTCTTAAATATATATGTAGATTACAGCACACTTATTTGATCAGGGCATGATCTGTTTGGCCACATGCAACAGTGAGCAGAAATATAGCAGCAGGTAGAATAGTGACTTATAGCAAGTTATCTTTATAAAATTCTGAGCTAAAATCTATTCCCCATTGAGAATTCAGTTAATCCTTTAGGAATAAGCTCCTTGTAATTAAATCCACAATATAAATTTGAGAAATCAGATGGAAATTGAAGTTTTTAGTGCCTATATGGGGTATAAAACTAGTTGATTTCTAATCTATGTTTAACATAGTAATAATTTTGCTTCATTCTCAGTTAATGGAACATGAACCACATCTTTGGTAATTTTTTTTATGTATGAGAGAATGCTAATTAAAGTGTTCCTTTGTTTACTTTTTTTTTTTCCTGAATGTAGTCAATTTATAGCATCTGTTAAAACTTTAAATGATCATTCTTTAAAAAATCTGCTCTTGTATCCCCTTTCCAGATGAATCAGTAGAAATACTTGGTTGAATTAGTAGTTTAAACTAAACAATATATTGTCATAAGGAAATTAGACAGCTTAACTTCCTTTTAGAAATGCCATCTTTATAAAAAATAGCAGTGCTTAAAAGAAATACAATTTTAAATATTTTCTTGAGCCCATATGATGAATTGTTTTAAAGGCCACGGCATTCTAATTAACTTTGAAAGTTCATATGCATCAGAAAACTTACAAATGAAAATTTTCATCCATTTATTTTTCCTTTTAAAATATATTTTGATTTTTTTTTTTTTTTTTTTTTTACACAGAAGAAGGAAGAGGGATAGAGAGTTAGAAACATCAATGAGAAACATTGATCAGCTGCCTCCTGGGATGTGCCCACAACCAAGGTACATGCCCTTGACCAGAATTGAACCTGGGACGCATCAGTCTGCAAGCCGATGCTCTATCCACTGAGTCATATTGGCTAGGCTATTTTTCCATTTTATTGGATATTTACATGATTGTGGTTGATGCTCATGTGACTAGACTCTATTGCCTGATTCTTTTTCTCTTTATCCTGGCTTTAAAAAGCAGATGAAGTTATAAAAATAAATGAAATATATTAAGAAGTCATACATGGCTTTTGGACAGTATTATATTTCAGTTGCTTTTCTACATTCTATTATATTTCATAAAATATTCTGGGAAATGTGTTGATAAAAATTTTCGAACTGTGGGAAATGACCGAGTGCCTGACATATAAAAGCTACATATAAAATATGCAAGTTAAGATTAAGTCCTTAATGTTACCTGTATCATGGTGTAAAGGCCCAGTCAAGTGTGTTATAATTTTTGGTTAATTCTACAAAATAAGACGTTAGCTATTTTAACACATTGCGGATGGATCATGAGAATTCTCGCTTCATATTACAGTGTTTTACAAAATATACTTTTGTAAGATACTAGCTTGTAAGAACATGTAACTTCAAAATGCACTGGGTATTTAATTTTAAAGCATGCTTTTAACATTTATGTAAAAACATTTCTTGTACTCATTCAATAGAAACTTATCTGGCCACTGGGTAAAGCTAGCAATAAAACGACTGGTCTGCAATGTGTTAAGGTGTAGGGTTTTCATATTTTTTGCTACTTTTAAAAATCCAATGTTTTGTCATCTTAGTTTTACCTACATGAGTCTTGCAATTTCATTTGAAAACTTGTACTGTTCGTTTTAATCACTGCCTGATAGCCCTCTTGCAGTGTTGCTTTACTAGCTTTTCTTACTGGTATATTTTAGAAGTTTGGCAGCAAGTATATTTATTAATGCTTTACATTTTTATCTTTCTTTACAACACACACATAAACATTATCTTTGTGAGGATTTGGGGGAAGTAAAATAATACCTTTTCTATTTTTTTTTTTTATTCCTTAGTTCTCACATAGACAGGTGCTAGACATTTACAAGTTTCAGAATTTAATGAAATCTGATCATTCTCAACAATGAGAAATTTCAAAGTATAATCCATCTAATAAATGAAAACTATATTTTAGAAACAGATTGCATTTGAATGCTTAAATAAGTAGTTGTTTTATAATCATTACATGCTTGCTTATGATTTACAAAGATCTGGTAGAGAAAAGAAGGTCCTTAAGGCATATATATGCCAAGGTATTAAGCCACTCTGTCTTTTGTCAGCTCAGGTGTTCTCAGAACAGGAATGTAAAATTCCAGCTCTTTAATTGCACTTTTGGGCTTAAGTTTTCTTCCTATTAACTCCTCAGTTACACTAGTATGTAAAATAGTTACCAAGAAATGATTAACATCTTGATTTCCTATGTTGATCTCCATTATTTTCAAATGCAGCTGTTATTTAATACACTTGACGTGTTGATATTACATAATAATGCATTCCTATATAGTCATAGTCATTAAAAGTAAATTTCCCACTTTTGTTAAGGCAGTGAAATTTTTTTTGATGTTAGCCTGCGGACCAAATTAGCCATTTTTCCAGTTCATTAAGTCAGAGGACTAAGTGGTTCAAAAGGAAAATTAGTGCATTTAGCTTCCCCATATGAAGCTTGGGTTTAGTATTACCCATATAACTATCTTCATACTAAGTGAAACAAACTAAAATAGCATTCATAGTCTCTTTTTTTTTCTTATCAGAAGAGAAAAACGTCCAAAAATGAACAATAAACCAGAATTTTAATCTTGACTAAATAGCTAAAAAGCCTTGTCTTTTGGCCACAATGGGTTACTGCCCAGTTAAAATCCATAAAATTTTCTATAAACCAGTGAAGAGTCATCTGATAACTTCCCAAATATTTTAATGTAATTTTTAATTACAATGAAAAAGTGGGTAGAATGAGGATATTCAAGGAATTCTTGCATATTCCTTTAATAATCTGGGAGCTAATACAGTCCTAGAATTCAGGTTTCCTTTTTCGTTTTATTACTATTTAAATAGGTACTTACATATAAATGGAAACATTTTCCCTCAAACATTAATTCAAAGCATACTCCTTATATTAAGGATTACATAACCTCATTTTTTGGTAACATTTATGTGTTAAGGTGTAGGGTTTTCATATTTTTTGCTACTTTTGTAACACACAGTTACCCTGTGTGTAACTTTTTTCTGTGGTACGTGATTATTTGATTTTATTATCTGCTGGTTTGGGGGCCAATAGATTTGTGAATAATCAGTCTGTGGATGTGTCCATGTATAGCTGTATATATTTTCCAGCTAATACCTCAAATGTGTGATTATTTTAGACCACACTAAGTTTGCACTGAGCAGAGCTTCCATTAGCCGAGGATATTCTTATTTGAAAGCAGTTCACAGAATTTCACTGGTGTGATACTTTTCATATTTTAAAAGTTTTCTATTGTAAGGCCCATACTTCAAATATAATTGTGTCTTTCTATATCTAGCAATCTGGAAATATGTTGTTAAGAAGTGTTTTTTGAAATGGCTTAGTTTAGAATGTTATTGAAAATTGGGATTACTGGTTGCCAAGCAGTCTAGTAACTACATAGCAGATGACACCCGGCACGAATGTGAACAAGTCTCCACTTCAGCACAGGAATCGGGACATTTCTATCTGATATTTGCCATTTATGAGCACTTCTAAAATGATAGGGATTTTTCAGTGACATTGGAGCATTTTAAGCACCAATTTCAAAATGAATTGTTTTGAGTTGGATAACTATGCCAATGAGAAGAAACTCACACGTGAATGATATTGTATAATTTATTTGTATTAAGAAATGCTTCTTACCTATTTTTGTTTTGTTTGGTGGGGGTTTTTTTTTGTTTGTTTTTTTTTTTGGATTGCTACATAAGATTTGCCATTTAAGTTTAAGTCATGTATCTTTAAAAGCTGCAGGTAATTTCCAAGGTGTGGTGGAATTTTAAT